AAAACACTCCGACGCTGACTGTCTCTCTCGTGCGCCTGTCGACCAACCGCTACCCGACGACCCGGATGACGACTACTTCTTGGAAACGATAACTACCGACGACTTCGCTGAACGACAGCGGGCCGACCCGGAACTTAAGGCCCTAATAGAATACCTCGAAGGCAGGACCGCCGAAGTCCCGTGAACAAAGGAACAACGGTCGCATACATCGAAGAAATTGTCGAAGCCACCAGTGCTTTCGCCCTCGCCGATTCTGCGGAACCTGCTCAGAGGAACCAACGCCAGTTAAATCCAACACGAAGTTTCCTGTCTTCGGCCACGTCACGACCCCGTGACATCTGGTGGAGGTGCTGCTTCGTTCATGTACCGGACGCCCCCTGTCAAGCCGTGTACCCAGCACTTCCACCAGATTTCACGGGATCGTGACGTGGCCGAAGACAGGAAACTTCGTGTTGGGATTTAACTGTTTATTGGGCGAACCTGTGCCCGGTAAAGGGAAAGTCTAATTACAGCAGCAGTCTTGCACAGATAGCAGTCTCGGACTGATAGCGGCGAACGCAGCGTCGGCCTTCGATCAACAACTGACAAGCGGCGAAGCGCGTCGGCATTTATACCCTTACCGTCGAATGTTCTAGCGTTATCGCTGGCGGTGGCGTAGGTTCCAGAACAATCTGTACCGTTCGCACAGTGGGCGTGATCTTATCGAAATGATCTACTATAGTCCGGAACCTTCTCGAAACCTGCAGGCGCGGTTTGCGCCGAGAATCGTGTGGTGTTTCGGAACGATAACAAAAACTTGGGAAATGGAACGTGGCAATATGATTTCATTTGTTACATATCGTGTTTCATTGCATCTATTGTATTGTTATACCATTGTATTATGATATCGCATTGAAATCTTGTGTACATATATGCCAACATTGTCATGCATATTAGAGCAAATGTCTTCACTGTAACGTAGTGATGTTAGTCGTGAAATATAGATGTGCCGAAGTGTATGTGCCCTGTTACTGGAATGGTATGAAGCCTTTGTGTTCTGTACATGCTGTAAATAAATTTTTTCTAAACACAAAAGAAACAAATGCAGCTGAGGAGTTTTCGATAAAGTTACTCACCGAATGTGTACTAAACTACTCTTTTCTATTTCATTGTTTTAGTGTTGTTTTACGGAAGGGATGTTTTACATTTTCCACTTCTTCTGTTAGGCCTTACTTACGTGAGCTGTTCCTCTGATGGTTTGTTTTAATTGCATGAAATAGTTTTTAAGTTTGTTAGACTGACCAAAATATCAAAGGTCCACTCATCAGGTTCGCAATTTTGAGCTGACAAGTGTGACGCGTAGACATAGGGCGTTCAGGAATACGTCTGCCAAATTTGCAACGTTACTCCGCAGAAATGGGTGAAATTTCCAACTTAACGCTGCTATAGGGCGCCCTTTCTTTTGTGGGCGCGCACCCGGTGAATAAGGGCATGACGTGCGCGTATGCATGATCCTACGTAGACGGCAATGCAGTGACGTTGATTCTCTACGCAGACGACTGTGCTTTGACGTTGCGAACAGTGGCACGCGAGAGAGAGAGGTAAGCTTCATTGATTTGCGGCAGATGAAATGGCAAAAATTATTCAACACGACATGCGTGGTTTATGTAATTTGTAACTTGAAGAGATTATGTAAACTCTAGAAAAATATTGAGACGCAATAATGGTATGTGCGCGTGTTTTTTTCTATTTTTTTACCGTGAATAGCAACGAGATTCGGAGCTAATGTGCCGGCGTTTCATTTGTGTTCGTGTCCCCGCGGTCATAGAGTTTCCCAAAATTAACTAGAGGGCATCCTGGCGCTGCTATCGTTCAGCGACCATGGGAATGATGGGTAGTACACACATTTGCCTAGTCTTCGTACTTGCGGGCGGCGAATAGTACTTGCGGCTTCATTTATTGCTGTGTCTCAGTTTTGTTTTGAAAAAAAAAGAACGAACCCTTTTAAACTCAGTGACTTGATTCAAAATGGTAAGCCTGAAAGAATAAGGTTGTGAAGCGGAAACGGTGAACATTTGCTAGTTTATGTTTTCGTGAAAAAACAGCTCCAAGCCACACGAACACACACGGAGCCAAAAGCAGGCCACAAGTACGAAAATTAGAAAGATGTGTGTACTACCCATCATTCCCATGCTCGCTGAAGCGCCGTGTGTTGCAGCTGCCATAGACACTAGCGCCAGAGTTCAACTCTATGCCCGTGGTAAGCGCATCGAGCAGACGGACGACAGCCATGGAAGCGTAAGTAAAGCTCCAACGCGTTCCCGCACTCATTGTTCTCATCGATTCTACGACATCTAAATTAGCGTTTCCAAGCCATCCTGCAGAAACAGGCAGTAGAGCTTAATATAACGCTGGTAAAAAAAGTGGGGCCCCATATCTGCATGTTAATCTGCAAATGTCGTAGAAAGACGACAGTCTTGCGTGTGGAGAGAGTGAACAAAACATTAATTTGATGTTCTGTGCAGAAAAATTGGCAGCATATCCACGGAGTGAATGATGGAGAGCGGGGTGAAGCATTCGTCCGTCCATTCGTTCTTGCTTCCGTCCATTCATGCGTCCGTCTGTGTGACCGTCCATGCGTCCATACGCCCGTCCGTGCGTGCGTTTGTTCATGCGTCCGTCCCTGCGTTTGTCCATGTATCCGCCCCTGCGTCCGTTCATGCGTCCATCCATGCATCTATCTGTATGTCCGTTCGTTCATCTATTCAACACTCCAAGTACCACCATCTTGCATCTTTTCATTATATATTCCACATATAGAAGAACCGCCATCCAGCGGACATTCCAAGGACTAAACGAGAGCTGGCACAAGCACACTTTCTTACGACTTGCGCTGCGAGTCTACCTCCCACCTTTAACCACTTCGAGTTCATGGTATATAGTGGTTTACTGTATTCATGGAACTATGACTCATTGCTCGCTAAACCTTTCTAAAACCTAGGAGGTTACACCCAGCGAGTACAACGTAGCAACCCTTTCTTGTCAGATAGTGCTCAATGTACATGCCAGTGGCTGCTATTGGGGATCGCAGCGTGCGCGTTAACTAAAAGCCGAATGCTCCCGTCTCTCATTACCCTTTAGCAGCCATTGGCATGTACATTGAGCACTATATTTTACTGTTTAACAATGAACAGAAGAAATTTCTCGCCGGCAACACCTTGGAGGTCAAAATGTGATACTTGTTACACACTACTACTACGGCCACGAGGGGCAAACGGGTGCCGCTGTAAGGAGCTTCGTCCCTAAAACAGCACTCGCGTGCTTGGGGGTTGGTTGGGCTTGTTCGGCTTCTTATTCGGATGCCGGAGAGAGTAGGGAAGGACATTTGGTTTGCGAAGGCTACGCGGAGGAGCGGCAAGGGTATCTAGTCCACCTCCTCTCATCCTCGTTTCGCGCCACTTCAAAAAAGAAAAAGTTTTCTCAGATCGTAAGGAAATGGTTGAAACCAACAATCGTGGCAAAACGCTCCTCATTGGATACACGACTTCCACGGTCTAAATAAAATTTTTGTGGGGCCTGGTGAGTGGTCCTTTAATAACCTCTATAGATTTGGAACGCTAATTTCCTTCAATGTCATTTCGCTGAAGCCTGCTTTTTGACTCTGTTACCGGCCCGGCCACGGTTGTCTAGTGCCTAAGGTACTCGGCTGCTGACACGCAGGTCACGGAATCGAATCCCAGCTGCGGCGGCTGCATTTTTGATCTAAGCGAAAATGCTGTAGGGCCGTGTGCTCAGATTTGGGTGCACGTTAAAGAACCCCAGGTGGTTGAAATTTCCGGAGCCCTCTACTATGGCTGTTTTATGATCATATGGCAGTTTTAGGACGTTAAACACCACGTATCAATCAGTGAATCTGTTAACGCTGTTCATTTGTTTGGGGCATGTCGAGAAATAATTTCCGATCTTTATAGAGACAAACGCTTACAGTGTCTCAGACTTTTGACAATCTTGCATCCAATTTTTATGAATGTATGTATAACATTATTCTAACACAAACTCTTACGACATTGAACGTCATTTAGTGTCACGCATTTGGGTTAGTAAATAATTATACCAAATGAATATACTCACTTCTTTCAGCATTGTGTTCAGTTTACAGGTTTCGTCAAACTGCCCTAGGCTAAATATTTTACCATATTTGGCCCACTACTGCATTGTTTAATAATGCGGTGAAGAGTAAGTTTTTTGAGATTCCACAGATGCAGTGGGTGCATTTTCCGTCTACGTCAATTTATAATATTTGCGTTATAATTAGTAAAGTGCAGTAAAAAAACAGCCGTTATCATCATTTATGATTTCATTGGCCTAACTGCCTTCCGAATCTAATTGGTTGCGTCTCCCAGAGAAACAAGCCCCTCAGAAAAGTGCCAAGGCTGCGTTTCTTTCTTTTTTTTATTGCATAGGTCTCAGACCTGCGATTTACCTGAAGGTTTATTTGAACGGCGATGTTATTTAATTTGCTCTCTGTAGTTAAAGTTTCAAGAGATAGCTATATATTCTACACCCACATTATCCAGCATTATTGAGCTTATTGAGATTTTATAAGCTTGAAAGAGCGAGTAGTTTCTCTGCGTAGACAGTTGATTTGCAGATCACTTTGCTGTCACACAAGTGTTCAACCTTTCTTGAAAATATTGGTCCTGATGATTGTCTTGCTAAATCGTGCAATGAGAGTTGGTACCGCAGTGGTGTGCTTCGGTGTGTTCTTATTACGGAAATGAATTTCTAGACTTGTATCACACAACAACCGTGATGCATGTTGGGTTCAGGAGCACGTAGTTAGTGCATATTATGTACGCTGTCTACCCACGCATTGCGCTGCGAACTTCAGTTGTTGTCGATATACTAAAGCCATAATTGCAGGTTAGCATCGAGAATCCTAATGTGAGGCGGTGGCTGTGATCAGTGGTTGTTTTATAACATTTATTTTAGACACACGACGCTCTATTAACGAAACTCACCGGGCTCTTTAGCCTAACAGCGTGGGTCAGCGTAGATGTGAGTACGTCCATGAGTGACAGTGTGTACATACATGAGTATATGGTAGCTGGGCTGTATATTTTCTCCGGGTTTATGAATGTAACGGTGGCAAATGCCAGAATAGTCATCTGTAAATAATAAGATATCATTCAACCTACACAGAAACACTCGCTATAGCTCTAAAATTGCATTCCAAAGCAGCAAAACTGGCCTTTAGGAATACATATGCCCCATATCTTTAAGGTGTTTTTGATTAGTGTGGCACCACCTCTCTATTTCTCTCTTTAGTTCCCGATTGCCCTATCCACACGTGTAGAGTAGCGATCTGGGCTTAGTCTTGTTAACCTCTCCATTTTTCTATATTCTCTCTCTCTAATGGGTGTTGCGCATTAACGTAAATCTCTGTAGATCGTATTTTTTCCAATGAGTTGTTCACATGTCAATATATCATATTTGGGCATAGGACCACAGTCACAGCTCGGAAAACTCATGAGTATACTCTCTGAGACTCACTAAGACTCACCCCTGTATTCTAGAACGCCCCTTAATCCAACGCTCCACCTTTACTTGAAGAATCTGATGGGAGCGCCATCTCTAGGCAGAGAAAGTCACAGCATATCAGTGATAATGTACTGCTATTCTTGAGTAGCGCAGCGTCATTTTCAGCTGAGGAGCAGAGCACTGCACAAATTTGTCAAGTGAAGGGTGAAAGTCGAGTCGAGGAGCGTTTGTGAATACGGGGGTGAGACTCAGATCAGGTACTGAATTTGAGATCGAGTGAGTCTGGTTGAGGAAAATTTTGGCGAGTCTGAGTCCGAGCGCGATGGAGGTAAATATTGTTGAGTCTGTGTTCGAGTGAGACTTATGCGCAAAGTGTATGTCCTGAGTGATCCTTAATTAGTTGCATCTTTATTTGCCGACCTATGTCGCACAGAACAAGTTCCTTGAGCATGAAACTATGGCTCAATAATTACGCAAGTAAAATCATAAGTTCTTTAAACTTTGCAATCATTTTTTTGCGTTAGCTTTGTAGAAGTACTGCTTCGACAACAATTCTGCCTTATTTTTTTTCTTCTTATATACTGAAGTGGACTATATTAGGCCAACGCTCAATTTCTTTGGCAATACTTGGTTCAGCGATTCGTGCCATGATAGCTAAAGTACTCAAGGATATGCATCAGATCACATAATAACATACCGAAAATATTTGGCGTATTGCAGAAACAGAATCACTCGCAGTATTTAGTTTAGACGTCAAAAAGGAGCCGAAAAATGAATGTCAATAAAGCAGGTGGGCTTGTTCTCGCCTACGCTAATTTCAGAATTCTTGCACTGCGCCCTGCGCACGGGCAGTTCTAATTTAATAAAAGTAAGGATATGCCATAACGATGTAGCCCCACAGATTCACTGACACTGTTTCACCATATTTCAAAATAACATAGCATATTGTCCTCAAAACAGCGCTGTGCCCGCATGTGTCTGAAATGCTCTATTCATTTTAAGGCGTGTATGCTGTAGTGGCACTTTGGTTTCAGTATCTCTTGGTAATATTTCTCTGATATTGGAACTGAAAAATGTAAAACCGTGTTGTAAAGTCACCGAACATATCCTAACCACCATTTCGCTGCTTTTATATAAATAATTGGCAAAACATAGGAGCGAACGAGCTCACTGCATAGAAGAACCGTGTGCTCCGACGAAGCGACACAAGCTATGATATAGGAGTCAAAATACGCACGCTATTGCAGCTGAAGTGGCTAGACACCAACCGTTCATGCAAATGTGCCCGAGCTATCTTGTTCTGTGAGCTACTAAGTGCATCAACGTAGTTACGAGTGTAAGTCATCGTGAATTAGAATGCACCTGAAAGGTGTTTTTGCCGCACGCCTGCTAAAAACATGCATTGCTCTGTGGTATGATATCAGGCTCCCATGCATAGAGAAAAGCTCCACGGCTACAGTTATGTGGGTGCTCTCTTTTTATCCTATCAACAATGCCTGGGGCAGTGATGGCGAGGAAAAGAGCGCCACCAAAAGTATCTTTAGGATTTATCTCATAGCATCTAACCCTGAAAAATCACGTATCCTTCGTCAGTTATATCTCGCAGGTCACGCAGTTATTCCGCGTACGGTGTTCATGTTGCTAAAAAATTGGCTATTTAACTACGCAGTATTTGTTTTGGTGTATGAGTGGTCTAATAAAACTAAAAATAGGCCCCAAATACCCTTGCCACAAGCCACCTTCTTACCACAGACGTAGACGCACTGATGACTGTCTCCAGAAGACTGTCCACTACGTTGACGCGGTAGGCTTGGTCTATCTCTTTCAGCCGGAGGTGAAGAAGCTTACTTCTAAACACGTCTTCTAGAGCCGACATTTTCACCAATCGAAGTACTGACAGAAAATCACTTAGCTTCTTCAGCCGCTTGTCTCGATACCTGTAAAGTTTATTCTGCAGCATACGATGAAATTGAAAAAAAAAAGAAATGAGAAAGTGAATAAGTAGAAGCCATGATTTTTTAGGTTAGTAAAAAGCTCAGCCCCCCGACTATACACCACGAGTGTTGTGCACATAAACGGCACACTGAAGATTTAAGATGTCGTACACTGTGCGAAAGTTTGCGCCACTGCCTTCGTTGTATATATACAATACCATTATCCCTTCGTGTGTAAGAATATCAATTATTCATATGAAAGCGATTGACAATCCTGTGTTTCTCTAGAATAGGTATTACACTGTGATAATGCCTGAATGCGTAACCTTGCGTTAGTACGTGCATATATACAAAAATATGCGTCACACTCTTTTACTGTTACAGAAAATGTCTGTGTAATTCCTGGCAACATGCCTCTCAATTTGAAGCTGGCCCAATAGAAAAGAAAATGAAATCATTGTATTCTGCTGTTGATGCACCTGAATATTAGAAAAAAAGGCCAGACCTCTGCGGAAAGCGCAGCATAGTCTCAGCGAAAGCTAGAAGAGTGGCCTTTCAGAGCCTTTCAAAAGACTGTTTGGGTAACTAATGCAAGCAATTTTGCTTGATATCCACTACAACATTATTAATAAATCTTTTCAGGTAGTAGGCTGGCGTTCGCTATGCTATTTTCGTCATTCTTCTGAGAAGCGTGGTATCCGCTAAACACTTGCAAGGAATTTTGTGCCAATGGTTCGTGCAGTGGCTGACGACGATGAGAAATTATGACTGAAGTGAGATACAGTTAATGACGGAACAAGAGCAAGCTTTTGTAATGGGTTCGAGCATTGGACGACCCACTCGTTACGCTGTTTGCATTGTGCGACGACTGCTTGTTGTTTCGCTGTTTTAAAACGCTTTATAAGTCGTATTAACGCGATTGCTTTACCGACATCAAGCCTGCCTAAAGCAAGTTTGCCGACAAGTCCCAAGCACCGATGTAGCTCAGTGGTAAAACACTGCATGCGCTGGCACCCAGCGGACCCGAGTTCCAGCCCCACTGGGTCATTGGTGCTAGGTCTTTTTTTCAAATTTCGCGCGATGTTGTTACCGACACCGGTGATGGCGGCGGCTGTGGCGGACAACTGCGTGTGACCCGAGTTGTGCTCTTATAACAACTTTCGCTGTGAAAACTATTTCACACCTGCGTAGCCTGTTTACTGCTTTAGTTGGGGCAGCAGTTTGCTTAGCACCCGTCCTCAGTGGTTTAAGGACGGCTACTGCAAGTCAATAAAGTTGACGTGGACGCGGTGGCTGTGTCCTTGCTGCTGCTGATATCCTTATCGTTTTGAGATATGCAGACACTCTGCGAAACATTTCTGGCCGAATGAAAGAAAAAAATAAAACGTCTCCTTCGTAATTACGTTTTACGAATCGTCAACCACGCTCGCTGATGGAATTCCGCGCATCAAAGTTGGCTAAGGTATTCTCTTCCGAAAATTTATAGCACTAGAAGTTTTACAGCGAAAGCTAATATGAGGTCACAACTCGGGTCACACGCAGTTGTCCGCCGCCGTTGCCACTGGTGTCCGTAACCACGTCAAATAAAATCAGAAAAACAAATTGCACCAAAGACACAGTGGGGCTCAACCCGTGTCTCCTGGGTGCCAGCCCAGTATTCTGCTACTGAGCTACACCGGTGCTTGTGACTTGTTGTCAAACTTGCCTTAGGCAGGCTTGATGTCGGGAAAGTAATCGCATTAATACTACTTATAAAGTGTTTTAAAACAGCGAAAAAACAACCAGTCATCGCACAATTCGAATAGCGCAACGAGTGGGCCGTCTAATGCCCCAACCCATCACAAAAGCTTGGCTGTGTTCCAATTCTTAGACAGCCTATAGACATTCTACGAACCCTGCTTATAAGACAGCATCGAGCCCATGCTGTCCGAGAAATGGAGCACATTTAGACAGCTTTTACGCGACGATGTACCACCTCACGTCGAGAACAAAAAGCTAAAATAAACAAACGTTACAGTTCTAATTTCTGGCTTATTTCGTGTTTAATTAAAAAAACAAACGTTACTCACATTGAGCGTCTGGGAAAGCGTCTGCTTGTGTGCAGACGAACATCCGGCGAGATTTGATCGATCTGAGTGATTCGCTGAGCCGGCATTTTGTTTAGACAGCAAAGTAGCCTGCATGGTAATTGTGTACGATGCGGTCTTCTCGGACCTGTCTATGTTGCCGGCTATGTGAGAATTGTAATAAGACTTAAGATGGCCGCCGTCGATTTAGCTGTCTATTTAGCCATCTACGGTGAGTATTGGAACACACCACTTGTTCTTGTTTTCCTCTTAACGATGACGCATACCCACTTCAGCCATACTTTCTCATCATCGTCAGCCACTGCATCAACAATTGGCACAAAATTCTTTAGAAGTGTTTAGCGGATACCACGCTTCCCTGAACAATGATAAAAAATAGCATTGCAAATGACGGCCTACTACTCCCAAAATTTAGTTTTAATGCCCTAGTGGGTGTCAAGCAAGCGTGCTTGCAGTATTTACCCAATGAGTGTTTCGAAAATGCTCTGAATGGCCACTCTTCTAGCTTTCGCTGTGACTGTACTGCGCTTTCCACGCAGGCCTGGCGTTTTTTTTTGTGAATACGATGTTAGATTTGTCGGCTCGTTAATGTGTACTTTGGCATCCTTTATTTTAAACTCCTTCACTTGTCTTGTAAGTTCGGAAGCACTTTGAATTACATTTTAAAAGAAGTCCATTGCAAATAAGAGCAGTGGCAGACTTCGCGCTGCTATGAAAAACACTACGACATAGAGATAATTGTGGCTGGGCTGCGAATGATGATTGACGTAAGAGCCCTCTAAGCGTGTCGAATATGTTTGAGCACGAACCCATTTGGCAATTCACATAACGTGACACCTCATTGATTGCCATATGTATGCGCCACTGCAGCTTGTGCATCTATATAGCTGCACAGCTCCCTTCATTATGGGCCAGAATGCCACTTTTTATGCTACGCGTGAGCGCCTACTCATGAAGACATATTGTGTCACAGTCATGTTTGATGATGGTTAGTGGTGCTTTAATGGTGATTTGTGGTGATTTTTAAAGGTTGACCAACTATAATGCGCTCATCGAATAAATGTGTGTGCCGCTCGGCTTAGAAAGCAAAGTGTGTCTACGCAGCTGCCAAACGACGTGGGTGTTTTTGTTGCCACTTAATAGCAGCTGTGTTTGAGCAGGAGTTGGGACTGAATTCTCTATCATGACTTCAATTCACTGACTGTATTTTTTCAATCTATCTGGTGGGCTTTTCATTTTAGCGTCGTTCATAAATATTGAAGTTGCTCCTGATTTTGTCTAAGAGACAGTGGATAAGTGCAAGCAGTACATTCACACTGGTCACATAAAAAATCACAGCATATCTACAGATATCCGTCCGTACGTCCGTCCGTACGTCCGTCCAACCGCTTCTTTTACACAAGAGTGTGCTTCATACAACTAGGCGCTCACGTACCACGACAGGTATACAATTGATGAAGAGACTCAAGGCTTTAGGAGCTTCGTCTCTAAAACGGTATACAATCATACAACTAGGCGCTCACGTACCACGAGAGATATACAAGTGATGAAGAGACCCAAGGCTTTAGGAGCTTCATCTCTAAAACGGTATACAAACTACTCACGTAGTACTTGTGAAGCAGTGGTTCCAGAGAGAACGAGGCTCCTGCGATGACAAGGAGCCAGAGAAGACAAGCGAACACTGGGACACTTCCTATGCGTGTACCCAGCAAACCCAGCGCAAAGGGCACGCACACGAAGCCCATGAAATTGTTTGGAAGGAAAGAAAACGACGATGCCACAAGCCAGCAGTCAGCGGCTAATAGAGAGGTCACATGGCCTGCAGGATTTTCGGCAAGCGCAGTGGCTGACAGGCATGTAACCTGCACACGAGAGAAATATGACCCAGCCGACAATTAGTCTTGATTGCAATCAGCATTTGTTAGTGGAGGAACTATCTAGAGGTTTAGTGCAATCCTGTTAAGTATTTCAGTTGCACATACAATCGGTGTATGCTATAATATTGAAGCGTAAAGTAGGCTGTGTATGATTCCTGACATCTCAGTTATTGTTTCCAGGCTCTCATGTCGTGCCATATCAACGTTGACATATATGCAGAATCCAAAATGGTCAGAAGCGCATCAAGACAATGAAATGTGGGATAGTAGTGCACAATAAAGAGCACTAGATGGTCGAACTTTCTGGAGTCGTCCACTACAACGTCACAATCATACCGTGGTTTCGAGACGTATGATTCCCGATATTACTTTGTTATCAAATTAATATGAAGATTTGTATGTTTGTATCTTCCATTTATTTTCGTCATGTTTACAGGCATGTGAAAAAGCACCATTTTTGTCACATTTCAATTAGACAAACCACTCTCAAGCGCACCATGAGCGTAAAAAATATAGATCCTTCTGTTAATGACATTAATTTTAGGATTTTTGCGTTACAACCCGTCGTTTATGTCAGTCCCACAGTCACGTAATGAAATACAAGTTTTGGTATGTATCAATGCAGTGAAATGGCCAAGAGAACACTATGTGCGTGACATGCAAATAGTGCTGTTCATGACATAAATGCCACAATTTGCACGTGTCAGCCAGTCAGTTACGGTCGTCGTAGTTGCGTCATGCAATACCAATTTAGGTACTTATAAAATTAATTGCAGCCGTCATAGCACCAAGACAATGACATGAAAATGGTACTTCTCATGACGTGCATGTAATTATTTTTGTGGTACCACCAGCCACTTATGTTTGTCGTACGCTCTTGTCATTCTAGCCTGGTAAACATCTCCTTTGAAAAATCACCACGAGAGCAAGATGTCCTAGGCGTCTAGGGATATGCATAGATAAGCTCGAAGGGACACAATTTGCATCAGAATTGCTTCACATTTAAGACGCGATTAAACAAGGATATTGTCAAGTAGCATACCCAAAATCAAGTTGTGTGGATCGAACATTGCTTGTCACGACAATGGGGAGTGGATCAATTTTGTTTAATTTTCCATCAAGAGTAATTAGAAAAGTGGCTTAAGTTGTGTAATGCTAAAATGAATAATTTCTAGTAAAATAATGCCATCTATGAACATCTAAAAGACCCTTTAATATGGTCCATTTACATATTGATTTAGAATTTACTAAAATATATTAGAACACAGGTCGCAATATTCTGAGTTTGGAGGGAAAAGTTTCATTTAGGCAACTTGACGGGTACCACCCGGAAATATCAGCGGTAGGGCGGACGTTGGAAGCGAACACACACAAAAAAATTCGGCAAAATAATGTGTTCAGAATGGTACATAAACAGTGCTCCTTTTCCGCACACACTTCAAAAGGTTGCAATTTGTTAACATTGATCACAAACAAAAAAGGTGCATTGTGACTTATGGTCCTGAACAACCCTCTCAGTCAACTCACAAATATCTGCTGCATGGTTGCTGACCGACATGCCCGCGAAGTCGTAGACGCGTTCATCGGTCAAGTTAGTGGAAAAGAGGCCAGTTATGACTTAGCATCGGGGGCCACATAACTGAGCCTTGTGGTCCGCGGATGGTATGTGGTCGGTTCCTGTACTAAACCAACACTTAGAATTTCGCACAACTTATATATACGTATTTATTTGTGTTGTAGATGAACAAGACACTGACACTTTACCCGTTCTTAGGGGGGGGGGGGCTGTTCGTTCGTTTGTTTGTTTGTTTGTTGCCTGTACGTACTGGCACAGAACCACTCTGGTGATTGGTCATGAAATCGAGTAGTAGCCTATATGTGATACACTGGTTGAGAGCCTATCGTTAAAACAACAAAAATAATGAAACAATAAAAAATAATAAAATAAAAATAAGAATAAACTAAAAAAATTAAAATGAAGATGAATCAGTAGGAGTAAAGGTGAGCTAGAACAATATTTGAAGACTAAATTCTGAGTATACCAGACAGTTGAGTTTATCTCACCCGGTAAAAATCGAATGAATGTGCGACTTTCAATCACATTATCACAAGTATTCGTCAAAAATATATTTAGGCATGTATTTTAATGAGATGTGCTTAGATTCTTGAATAAAACTGCATACAGCATCGAATACGTTTCTGTGGCAACGTCTCAAACTAGAGGCACCGAAACTAAGAACATTATCGGCAGGTAAATTTAAGCCTAGTGTGGAAAACGGAACAACTAAATGGCCTCTCCCAGTTATGAATAATTTTTACATGATATAAAATAATGCTCTATTATTTCTTCGCAGATTGGGCACTAGGGAGATATCGTCAAACCAGCTCTGTGTAAATAAATGTTTAATGGAGAGGAATGACATCAAAATTTGGTTAAGATAACTTCTAACATTTTAGATTTACTCTACTGAGGTTTCCAGAGATATGTTAGGCGCTGACAGTTCATTCACTTAGTAATATTTTCATCATATCCGTGTAAATAGCCAACTCTTTATATCTTATTGACACTGTGTGTTCTATTTCTGGTAGTACTGATATCAGAGGATCATCAAGTGAAGCTCGATCGAGCTAATGAATCGGCCGTTTCATCCGACTGTATGCCACAGTGGCCTGGGATCTATACAAACTTCAGGAGCATCAGTTTGGGTAAAACTAATGTGTGCAATGTCACTAGGGCTCTTGATTGTTCTGAAGGTGCGAGACAGTACACCCCGAAAGAGAATCGGTAATGATCATTGCACTGTCTTCGTTTAAAGGCAGTTTTCGGAGCGCCAAAATAATAGCCAGGAGCTCAGCTTCGAAAAACAGAGTGAAGTCCCGCAGTCTTACTGAGAAGGACCAACGAATGTAAGCAGAGGAAATTCCTACTGCTGCCTTTTCTTTATTCACAGAAGCGCCAGTGGCTATTATGTTTATTTCCGCATTAGCGTATGTAATCTTCTAACCTGTTATTCAAAAACTTGCAAGATTAAAACGTAGACAGCGGGGGGAAAATTTCGTCGTATTCTATCGTAGTATGCTGATTTAATGCTTTAGTTCCGATTACCGATCTGATGTCTACCGTTATGCTTTCCAGTTTCCTTTGTACAAAAATATTCTGGGTAGTACGAATGCGTGGCCAATGAGCGAGGAAAAAGGCGTCAGGGATACTAATAAAGGCATATTCAGATCGTCTCGCTGTGAAGCCGTAAAATTTTAAGAAAGTTTGTATAGTTAGGATACGGAATTGGCAAAGAATAGTTGGTATGCGAGCTTCCTGGTATATAACATTAATAGCGACATTCCTGGAGAGTCGCAAACACAAACGTAGCGCTTCTCGCTCGAACAGAACTAAAGGTTTTGTTTTGTACGTAGGTCCACACGAAAATAATATGCGCCCTAATTCTATTATGGGCGTATGTCTACTTTCATTTTATATATCTTAAATAAGGTGTGTCTACGTAAACCACATTCCTTTTCGCTCAACCTGCGCATTAAGCCTGAAGTTTGTTGTGCCTTTGCCATGGCTCCAGTTAAGTTTTTCATTATCAATATTGCCCAAATAATTTATAGACTTGACTTGCGGAATCGGTGCCTGCTTATATAGTACAGAAATATGAGTAGAGTTTGCTAGTGGAAACGCCAGCAAAGCACTTTTACTGATGTTTAGAGACAATGAAATTGACGGCAGCCAAAGTCCGAGGGAATACATATATTTTGCAATTTTTGATAAAAAGAATAAGTACCACTGTCTGCAGCAAAAACGCGATGTCATCAGCTTAAATGTAGACAGTAATACCTCGTTCAATGGAAATAGAGATCATCAGAACAATAAATAACAGTGGAGATAGGACCACCATTTGAGGAACTTCACGTTGTTGTTTGACTTTAGATGAGCGATATCCATCCTTTGCACAGTAATATTCCCTTGGTTTTAGAAACTCTGCTACCCACTCCACAACATATCACGGATATGTATCGCATTCCGCATGTATCGCAAGTCCTGTATCGCATCCAAAAAATGGAGTGCTCGACGCTATCATAAGCTTTAGATATGTCTATTATTACTAGTGCCGCGTAGTGCCGTCTTTTTCGGGCAAGCTGTATTCGGCTCTCTAAATCATCACGAGCACACCAAATTGGGAACTTGCTACGAAAACCAATTTGGTTTGGCTTTAACCCTTTCAGCCCTGGAATTTGTATTTTTGTCAGACAGATTATTAGTACATATTTTATTCAAAATTAATGTCTCAGAAAACTGCGAACGAAAGATTTGGTGAGTATAGTAAGTACTTATTTAATTACAGCCTTTATATCAAATTAGAACATCATGGCCCTATAGCCATGAAATGACAAAAATAGAAAATTTACTGCTGCTATGCCCCACAATGCCCAAAATCTGAACAAACTCTGTATTTGAAAGAGTTGAAGCACTTAAAACAACTTCAAGGATTCAACTTGAAAGTGCCACCTTCTCGCCTCTGCTTGCCCGCGTCATCGTCACCAGCGACCTCGATTCAAGTTCTTCTTCTTTACGGCTCCATGTCACGCAAAAATTAAAACAGTGGCTTCAGTCGCAGTGGGGATAGTTGATGAAATACGTCTACAGGAATGAGCAGGTTTGATTAGGTTTTCAAGGTTCTAAGAGAAATGTTTTGTTGTGTCAATCAACGACATCAGGGCCGAAAGGAATAATATAAGCTTGTCAGCTAGTCAAAGATTTATTGTGTTACCTAAAACTCCCACTATAATTTTAATCAGGTGAGATGTTAGAGAAATTGGTTTGATATTGTAGACGTTAAAATCTGATCTTTGTTTTTTTTAATGTGGGAACCACTCTAGCTATTTTCCAGTCATGGGGTATCCAGGCATTGCTTAAGGAATAGTTTGTAAGGTTGAGGACGTCACTGGGTGATATCTTGAATAAAAATCTAATCATAGGAACCTTTATACCACCAGGACCAGGAGCTGACGAGGGTAAGTTTCTAATTACGCTTGACACTTCAGACAATTTCACTTTTTCGTAGTCTGTCTTTATGTAAGATTTTTGCCAGTTGATTGTTAAAATCGAAGAAAATGTTTTTTGCTAGACCTCTACCAATCGCTTCAAAAAAATAATTCATTTCTTCCGGCGATAACCTGTCATATACAGAGTCAGCTAGAGGCGGCAGGATTTTGCGTGATCTCACACATTGGAATAACGCTTTCTTATTTCTTGGTTTAGAAAGAAAGTCGAAATGTCTTTTGCCATAGTCTTCTTTAGCTTAAGCCACCGTGTGTGTAAATGTAGCTGCAACAAATTTGTAATCCGCCCAATTTTCGGAGGACTGATTTGAATTAGCTGCTTCCAAGCTGCTTGTAGTTATCTATGATCGCGAGAGCAATCAGAATTTCACCACTGGCTCCCAGACACCCTCTTAGAAGACCAAATGGAAAATTCTGCTTTTATGAACGTTCTTCTAAATACCCCACTTCATTTCATGACTTAAGTTTTATCGTTGTCTTCAGTGAGAGAAGCCAAAGCAACTTTTAGGTCATTCCTAAATTTGGAATAATTTATAAAGGTTCGAGCTTGGGAACATGATGGGTCCGACTTCATTGTTCTCGTCATTCCCCTAAGCCCCACACGCACCAATGTCCGAGCTCCACTACCACTACATTACATTATATAGGTCATCAAGTTGCATATTTGTGTATATGCAATTAATTTGTTGCCCCGCCGCGGTGGTCTAGTGGCTAAAGTACTCAGCAGCAGACCCGCAGGTCGTGGGATCAAATCCCGGCTGCGGCGGTTGCATTTCCGCTGGAGGCAGAGATGTCGTAGGCCCGTGTGCTCAGATTTGGGCGCATGGTAAAGAATCTCAGGTGGTCGAAATTTCCGGAGCCCTCCACTACGGGGTCTCTCATAATGATATGGTGGTTTTGAAACATTAAACCGCACATATCAGTCAATAATAAATATATCACTATCATTCAACACTATTTTAGTCCAGATCACCTTTGATTGTACTTCGTCTCTTCGTGGTTATTTTGAGAAACGAAAAATGCCAGCGCACTTCTAACGCGTACTTGAGTACTATACCGCACAAATTTTACGACTGTGACTCTTTCCTTGTAAAACCTTCGTCATTAGATTTGTCGCTTCAAGTGGTTACACGCAGTTCAGCGTGTGTACCACATGGGACGTAATATAAGGAGTAAACCATTGTCAGTTATATTCAACCACTCGGTTCACTCTGTCTTGCAAGGAGCGAACCGAGCTTTCGAAGTCGATGGGAGTTTTGCTTACGCGAAAGCGGGCGCTGTAGTCCGACAAGTACACAAGACAGTCTCCCCAATGTCCTTTGCCGAGCATGTTATGAGTTACGTTGTATAACAACTGACACATCGAGAGCTACGAAACGCCTTCGTTGGCCCAGCTGTAGCAAGTTGGCTTACAGTGAGTGTAGCCAAACTTGATGCATGGCTGTATTTTATGTTTCGCTTTATGCATATCATTGAAGGTATGCAGAAATATTCATTTACGAAACACTCCTGTTCAGATTGGCGATGCTAGAAAAATCACGTAATTTCTGATACTATTTCATGATGAGATGTGAGGTCTTTTCTGTTAAACTCAATTATTGTGGGCATGTCAGGCTGATGACACATTGTGGCTCCAAACTTGAATAGCACTGCATAATGCCATCGAGCTTCATTATGCACAGTGTTCTACAGTTTGACAAGCATGAGTGAGTGGCCAGGCTTGCAATGTATTGATTGCATTGAGTTCTCAGATGCACCGGCGGAGTCTATTATAAGAACTACTTTTTTTCTTGAAAATAAGGAAGCACAAAAATGAGTAAAAAAAAACCTGATCTGGCACTTTATCGCATGCAACGGCTGGCACTATCAGCCAGACGGCAGTTCTCACCTTTTTGAAAACAGCAGTCTGAAGCAATAGCTGTGCTCTCAACTGGCCCTGAACCGTGAAGTATGACTGCAGGTTTGACACGAAGCATTCAGCGATGCACGACGCACAGAGGAGAATGACCGACTGATCGAAGGAGAAGATACTGGTGCTATCAAGTAAGCCGCTGCGCAGACAAATAAAAGTTTGTCAAAGTGGTCATCTGAGATTTGAGCTTGATCAAAGCGAAATAAAAGCACTGTGTTTATTTCTACACATGCTACCCTGCTTTTTATGCTCAGCCTAGGAGCCGAGTAGCATCGCATTTAACTGTTGCTGTAATCTGCTCACAAAGCTTCCAAGTATTATGTTACAACAAGCATTGTCTTGATCGAACAGTTCATTGAAAAAAAAACGGTAGAGTTTTGTCAGATTATTTTGGAGCTCTCTTACAATTGAGCGGCCGTTGCCGAATATTGTATCGAACAAAACAAGACCCGCAGCCAGGAGTTCACTTGAACCAGAGCAACGAAGATGTTCTCTTCTTCTTCGCGGCGAAAAACGCGTATGAGCCACAGTGGCTCGTTTAACAATGGTGGCATTACCCCCTCTCCCAAGAAGCATCGTCTCGATGCTATACATGAAGGCAAAAAAAAAGAAAAGAAAATTAGATGAAAATTAGCATGCGAGCAAAATGAATGGCGTAAGGCGGAATAACGTAATTGGTTGTGGGGACAAAAGTTAGAGAAATAAGAAAAATAGGAAAAATGTAAGGAAAGGACGAAACAAAAAAAAAGACGCGAAGTTACTAATAAAGTCAGTCACTCTCTGGCGATTCACAGCGCGAAGAGTATGGTTTGAGACGTGAAACGTGAATGACTTCAGTTTGCGGGGTGAAACAGGAACGTCTCGAATTGCCTTGTGGGAGAACCTCGTAAGTGACGTCAGTGAGACGTCACACGACCTTGTAAGGGCCGAAGTAGCGGCGAAGAAGCTTTTCGGAACGTCCACGCTGTCGGATAGGGGTCCACACCCAGACTTCATCACCTGGCTTAAAAATAACTTCACGGTGGCGAAGATTGTAGCGGCGCGCGTCTGCGGTTTGGTGACGTTGAATGCGGCGACGAGCAAGTTGACGGGCCTCTTCTGCGCACTGCGCGAATTTGGCGGCATCCGTGTGGTATATTCCTAAGTTGTCGGGCAGGAGCATGGCGTCGAGCATCGTCGTTACGTCACGACCATGGACTAAGCGAAAAGGCGTGAAACCGGTACTTTCTTGAACAGCAGTGTTATACGCAAAAGTTACGTAGGGAAGTATGGTGTCCCAGTTCTTGCGATCGATGTCCACATACATTGACAGCATGTCTGCAATTGTCTTATTGAGTCGTTCAGTCAGCCCATTTGTTTGCGGGTGGTAAGCCGTTGTTTTACGATGTTCCGTGCCACTTAATCGCAAGACTTCCTGCAGCATCTCTGCGGTGAAAGCTGTCCCACGATCAGTTATGACGACAGCTGGAGCACCGTGACGTAAGACGATGCTGTTAACAAAAAATTAGGCGACATCTGCTGCGGTGGCTTTTGGAAGTGCCTTGGTTTCACAGTAGCGTGTTAAGTAGTCTGTAGCGACGACAATCCACCGGTTTCCAGACGAAGACGTGGGGAATGACCCCAGCAAGTCGATGCCAATCTGATAAAAGGGCGCCTTTGGTGGGCCAATTGGGTGCAGTAGTCCCGCTGGTCGTAAGGTGGAATCTTACGTCGCTGTCAGTCGCGACATGTGCGAACGTAATGCTTCACAGTCTTCGCGAGACGTGGCCAGTAGTAGGAGCGTTGAATCCGTTGCAGCGTGCGCGTATAGCCGAGGTGTCCGGATGATGGCTCATCGTGACACGCACGTAAAATGTCACCACGAAGCGTAGTTGGCACAACAAGCAGATACATAGCTTGTGTAGGATGAAAGTTCTTTTTATAAAGCACTCTATCACGGAAACAAAAGGAAGATAGTGAGCGCGCAAAGCTTCGGGGAAGGTGGGAATTGCGTCCTTCCAGGTAGTCAATGAGCGGGATGAGCTCCGAGTCATGACGCTGTTGCTCCGCTAAGCTGGTCACTGATACGGCAGAAAGAAAAGTGTCGTCGTCTTCAAGGTCAGTGTTGGCATTTTCGACCGGTGCACGTGAGAGACAGTCGGCGTCGGTGTGTTTCCGCCCAGATTTGTGAACGATGGTGACATCGAAATCTTGTAGCCGAAGGCTCCATCGTGCTAGACGACCTGAGGGATCTTTGAGATTCGCGAGCCAACAAAGGGAATGGTGGTCGCTAACTACCCTGAATTGGCGGCCATACAAGTATGGGCGGAACTTTGTTATGGCCCAGACAACAGCGAGGCATTCCTTTTCGGTTGCAGAATAGTTTTTTTCCGCTGGGGATAACGTTCTGCTCGCATAAGCGATCACGCGCTCTATGCCATTTTGCCACTGAACTAATACCGCTCCTAGTCCAACGTTGCTGGCGTCAGTGTGTAATTCCGTGTCAGCGCTTTCGTCGAAATGACCTAGTACAGGCGGAGCCTGGAGGAGGTTTCGGAGGGTGTCGAACGCATGGCACTGATCGGGACCCCAAACAAACGAGACACCGTCTTTTGTAAGCTTGTTGAGGGGTTCAGCAATCTTCGAGAAGTTTTTGACAAAGCGCCTGTAATACGCACAGAGCCCCAGAAAACGGCGTAGGTCGCGCTTATTTGTGGGCACGGGAAAGGTGGCAACGGCGCGGGTTTTCTCGGGATCTGGGCGGATGCCGGCATGACTCACAACGTGACCAAGGAACTTCAGTTCTTCATATCCAAAATGACATTTGTCGGGTTTGAGAGACAACCCCGCTGTTCTAATTGCCTGAAGAACTGCATAAAGGCGTTGGACGTGTTGTTCAAACGTGTCTGCAAAGACCACGACATCATCAAGGTAAACAAGGCATGATTGCCATTTGAGCCCCGTGAGAACCGTATCCATCATTCTTTGAAAAGTAGCTGGCGCTGAGCATAGACCGAAAGGCAACACTTTAAACTCGTACAGACCGTCCGGAGTAATAAACGCCGTCTTTTCGCGGTCGCGCTCGTCCACTGCGATTTGCCAGTAGCCGCTACGCAAATCCATGGAGGAAAAATATTTAGCGTTGCGTATACGGTCCAACGAGTCATCTATCCGGGGTAGAGGATAAACGTCCTTTTTGGTGACCTTGTTCAGTTAACGGTAATCAACGCAAAAACGCAACGTACCATCCTTCTTCTTTACTAGCACAACTGGCGAAGCCCAGGGACTGGTCGATGGCTGAATGACGTCGTCCTGAAGCATCTGCTGGACTTGGTCACGTATAGCATCTTGCTCTTTTTGCGACACCCTATAGGCATGTTGTCGGATGGGTCTCTCAGTAGGTTCCGTGATGATACGATGTTGAGCAAGTGGTGTCTGTTTAACCCTTGACGTAGTGGCAAAGCAGTCTTGAAATGAGCCGAGTATACGCAAAAGGCTTTCTCGTTGAGCCGAAGGTAGTCTCTCGTTTACGTCGAGAGTGCTCACGAAGGCCTCGTCAGGGTGGCCATTCGATGAAAATGAAGCTAACGTAGATGGACCATCGGCATCGACAAGTTCTTCACAATATGCAATGGCAGTGTGTCTCGTTAGGTGGCGATATTCGTCGCTGAAGTTCGTGACCAGCAGGTGAGCATGCCTATTGCTAGGCTGAATGATTCCTCGGGCAACACAGATTTGTTGTGAAATAAGGAGAGACAAATTGGCCTCTGCAATTACCGCGTCAGACAAGTCCTGTCCCAATTCTACTTTGACAAAGAGGCTGCTTCGAGGTGGGAGAGTCAGAGAATCGTCGGTAACACGGAGCGCTCTTTTCCTGAATTGCATACTGTCAGTTGCAGCGCAAAAAGGATCCTCGAACGACACAAGTAATTCACGGAGGTCGATGACGGCGCCGTATTCACGAAGGAAGTCCATTCCTAGAATGACTGGCCGAGAGCACACGCGCAATACGAGGAAAGAGCCCGCAAATGTTGACGTACGTATTCAAATGCGTGCCGTGCACATACCAGTAGGCGTCACCAGATGGCCACCTGCCGTGCGCAACTGAGGTCCTTGCCAAGGCGTCATAACCTTCCTCAGTTCAGATGCCAGTGTTGCGCTCATTACGGAATAGTCGGCACCGGTATCGACGAGGGCGTTAACAGCATGATTGTCGACGAAGACGGCAATTTCGGCAGAAACAATCTTTTTGCTGTCGGAGAACACTGCAAAACCGGAATCGCCCTCGTCTGGTCGTTGCGTCGAAGGAGGGTCTTTTACAGTTCGCCGGGTCGCGACTTCACCCCCAGAAGTCGCTGTTCCTAGTTTCCCCTGCGGGGACTTGGTGACCGGCTCCTGAAAGGAGCGGAAGACGATGAGGGCAAACTGGGTGACGTGGACCGGCGAGGCGATGGTGATCTCGACTGGTGGTGCCGAATAGTCGAAGGAGTACGTTGGCCCGTGAGATAGGCTTCAATTTCGCGGGGGCGCTCATCGTAGCGCGGGCATCGAGCATCAGGGTGGAAGCCGCGGAGACCTAGTTGCCGGTATTGACAGTTCCGGTATACGTGACCCGCTTCGCCACAGTGATAGCAGAGCGGACGGTTATCCGAGGTACGCCACGTGCTTGCCTTGCTACCACTTTGTCTTGAGATGAACGGCGGATAGGTGGGTGGGCTCGAAAACCTTGAGCCGAGAGGTGGGCTTGAAGCAGTGTCGTGGAATGGCTGCATAGTCTGGTACCTTGGCCGCATAGCAGTATCTGTAGCCGGTGGCGCAGGGGATCGCAATGCCGCTGCGTATGTCAGGACTGGGGCCTCGGGAATCGGCGGTGCGATTGGGGCTAGGGGTGTGACGGCCTGCCGGACTTCTTGTCTGATTACATCCGCGCGGGCTGACACGGGTGGATGGGATCCCACTGCCTGCAGCTGTCGCAATTCGTCCCGAACGATACTTCGAATGAAGTCTGCGAGGGTCTGTCTCTCGCTGTCAGAGCCGATAGAGCATGTGGTGGCCGGGATCTGGCGTTCGTATTGTGACGACCGCTGCTGCAGCGTACGTTCCATCGTAGCTGCCTCACTGATGAACTGGGCGACTGTCGTCGGTGGATTGCGCACGAGCCCAGCGAAAAGCTGTTCTTTTACTCCACGCATTAAATGGCGCACCTTCTTTTCCTCAGGCATGGCAGGGTCCGCGCGCTTGAAGAGTCGAAGCATGTCCTCGACAAACATGGATACACGTTCGTTCGGCCGTTGGTTTCTGCTGCATATGGCTTGTTCGGCCCTCTCCTTCCTTTCGGTGTTGCGATAGGCGTCACGGAGCTGTCGGCTGAACTCTTGCCATGTTGCAAAGAAACCCTCGTGGTTCTCGTACCACGTCTTCGCAGAATCCTCCAAGTAGAAATAAACTCGGCGCAGCTTGCGAACATCGTCCCATTCGTTGATACTGGCAACCCGTTCAAAGTGGTCTAGCCAGTCATCAACATCCTCGAAGATGTCTCCATGGAACGGCTTTGTTGTCTGTGGCACGTGGAGAACATGGGCGAGAAGTGAATCATGGCCATCGCTGGTTTGTACCGCCTGGCTTGTCATCGCAGTTGCCATCTTTCTGGGTGTCGATGCCAAGGGACCAAATTCAGGGGATAACCCACGCAGGCGGCGGCTGATTCTTGCTCTGGGAGATGTAGCTGTCTCCACGATGGCCGACACAGCCGAAGTACACGTACCCAGAGTCTCCACCAGTAATGTCACGAACAAAACAAGACCCGCAGCCAGGAGTTCACTTGAACCAGAGCAACGAAGATGTTCTCTTCTTCTTCGCGGCCAAAACGCGTATGAGCCACAGTGGCTCGTTTATCAATGGTGGCAATATTGATGAATAGTGGATCATACACATGGTGTAATTGAAGGCGTGCCCGATTCACTGCGAAATAATCATGCATATTTAAGACAGGGTTTTAACTGTGTTGTAATGACTAGATGTCCAATAAAGAAGTGCGCTGGACTTTCTTTTCCGTAGGTCATGCACAAAAATGTCATAATGGTTTCGACTCCGATAAGTGTAAGGAAATAATGCAAAGTTTTGGCAATTCGACGCCATTAGACACTGGTTTCGTTTACCAGCAGCTATGCTCATTATACATGACTATTTGTTGAGAATAATAGTGTTTATACCTATTGCACAGACTGTACGATCAACGGGAAGAGCAATTTAGTTCACCTTAAGAAAGCCCAGCAAGCCTTCAGGAATAGGTAGCTTTTGATGTATGAATGTGCAATGCGACCACAAGTTATGCGATAATTTTGCATATAGATGCCACAAGCTAAACCTGTCCAACTGTGTAATATTTGTCCGAAATGTCGAATGAACTACAGGTTCTCCTCAGCGAAGCTCAAAAAGAAAGCAAACGAGATTGAGACAAGGTTACAAGTGTACGCAATAACCATTACCTTTACAAAAAAATTTGATAGCCAAGCAAGAAACACAACTTACACAAACAGTGGAATTCTGAGGAGAAGCGATGAATAGAACAGAAGTGTCAATGAATTTGACCAATACAGTTCCTTCCAGGCATGCTTCAGCACGAGACAGTAGAAAGAGCACGGGCTGCTTGAAATTTGGCTGTAAAATGAAAATAAATTGCTCGCAGCTTCCAGATATTTAGAAACGTGCTCCTAGCACAGCTCGCACATCTTTCAAGTCGGTAGCTCTGTTGGCGGGCATAATTTTGCACCCCCCTTCCCTATAACGTACGTAAGATTTGTTATATGCGTTACAGATATTGAACTTGTTTGCAGGGATGGGAAAGGTGGGGTGAAGGCCAGTAAAGCAAGAGGGCCCGGGATCTGCAGGTATGCTTGAATGTTTCATTTCATTAGAAGACATCCCGTGTGAAGCCCGACGCCTTGCTTTATTGACCTAAGACTACCTGTTTGCCAGATCGTGCCCTGCTTTTTTCTATTCAGCGTTATTGAGCTTTGAAATTTCTTACATAACAATTGAACGGATGTAGGGTTCGTCCTAGAACGCGCACCAGACGCCCATGAGACCTTTTATTAAACAAGTCGTGCATACATTACTTTAACTTTTAGTATATGCACCACTTACAGTTATTTAAGGAAAAACATTGTTGGCTCAAATGACACACAAGCCGTTAACAAAATTATTACAATCAATATGTCATACATGAGTATTGGAATGCGTGAGCGCATGCGTATGCTCAAGTGTCAGCTCAGCTTTCTTCTGTTTAGCAGTTGTAGCAGTCATTGAGAATACTACGTCTGTTTTATAAATTCTTTGCACTCGGTTTCTCTGTTTAAAGTGCAGCGAGCTCGCAGAGTGAGCCTCGGTATATCTTCTGTGACCACCTTTGAGCGAAAAAGCGTGTTTCTGAAGTGCCTGCGTTATAAAAAAGAGAGTACACGCACTAAATGAAACAACTGATGCGTGTAAATATTTTTTACAAAACATATCCAGCACATCTAATAATGAATAACAGTCTTTTGTCATATAAGGTAAATATTAGTGCCACTCAATGGTTTCAGAATAAATAATTCAAAGCACTTGTTGAGATCCTTGCTGCCTCCTCCTTTATTCTCGGATGGCACTGCTAGGATTGAGAGGAGGGTGCTGTTGAAATATATCTTTAGACATTAAAAGTTGTTGCGAAGTAATATACCTCAGCGCTGTTGATCTTTGCGGTGTTGAATAAAATTCAAATAATTATTAGAGTTCCTTAAAAGAGGTTGTTCTTTAATTTGAACTTGCAGAGGTGTTTTTCTTAGATGGTGTCGTTTTGCTTTAGGATAACTCATTGCTGTGCAATTATTCAGTGAATCAATTTAAATACTTACTTGTACGCAACCCTGAGAATCACATTTGAAAATGGAGAATATCCGTCCATGTCTTGCTGTTTTGCTTGCTGAAAAAAGTTGACGAAGATGATTATAATGATTGAAGATACTTTTCTAAATAGTATACCGGGCAAGTGTCGGTTTATAATAATAAAACTATCTCCCGTCGGATTCAATATAAATATTTTCATATCCGTTTAGAAAAGAATTACCATGCATATACTATTACAATAATATATAGCACTGCCTTTTTAGCGGAACTAGGCTGATGAACTCGATGTGCTTGCTTAATTATTGTGAACTGTAGTTCATGAAGTATTATTCAAGAAAGGATCCTGAAATTTGCCAAGTGGTCGTAGGTTTTAGTTGTTTGAATACTGCACTTTCTCAGAGGTCAGCAACTGAAATATTTAAGTTCATGGCGACAAACGCTGGCTCACTGTTTGCAGCTTGTATTTATTGCAATTTACGTGTCATTAAAGTGCAGAAGCTTCTTCTCGCCAGTACTAAAGGTCACCCTGTAAGCTTCGTATTAGCATGAACGTCACTGCTGAACCCTACACCACGCTTCCATTTGTCGTAATATTAAGCGTAACTCGGTGAAAGTAACCTAAGCAAATATTAGATGAGAAGAGATATCTTCAAACACATAGTAATATATGTAAGAATTTTCATTTTTATGTGGGGTTTCAAGGCCCAAAACCGCCCTATGATTACGAATGGCAAGCGTTCTTGGTGCACGTAGAGAAGCAGGAACGTGGCAGTCGTCTACAAGGCATATTTTACAGGTCAATTCGCAGTTTCTTAGCACACGTTTGTAGGCACTCAACCGTCAAGTAATAAATATAGAACACTCGGAACTTATGAGCCAGAGTCGCTAACAATGCCGTGTTGCCCGCTATACTACCAGACATAATTTCAATGTTGACCTTTTCACGGGCATTTTATTACCAATACTCCCCCAGTCATGTGGCCCCCCGTCATGTGGACCCCCAGTTTCTCGTGCAGAAGGTGAAAGTTTGTATAAGGCAGCACTTTTTGCTTAAAACCTTTGAGAAACTCTGAAATCAAGTTACAAAGGGTAGATTGGTTTCTCTAGAATGAGAAAAGAAAGCTTCCGATGCACTCTTGTATTTTATCTCAAGTGCTGTTTTATGTACATGTACACAATATCCAGCTGCAAGACAAACCAATTACCGTAAGAAATTAAAACCACAAATCTTTGCTTTCTTATAGAGGTATAGTGTAGTGTGAATTCATGACCGTTATCACAGGATTTAGTTTTTAGAGCCAGAAAGGATACTCTAAGTAAGTGCCTAGTGAAAATCGTTTTGAATTTACGTGTGATAATGACGCTTGTGTGTCAGCCAAACAGCATAAAAATTTTATAGCTGAATGGGCCAACTTGTGCATTCAATTCAAGATGGTAAAATTTATTAGCAATATGCTGCTTAAGCATTTTCTTGCAAAACAAAACAACCCTATATAACCTAGACCTTATGAATGCCGTTGTGTACAGTGAAACTGTCTTTGCCAAATACTGTAAGGTTGTGTACATGGCTCACTGATTCAAAGTACGTTCTACACCACGCAAACACAAAAAATAAATGATTTATTACCTTGGAACTATGTTCAGACCGTGGCAAGTAGGCAAAGCCACACAGCACGAAGTTTCCGAAAGCCATGAACGTGCTGCACATCAATACGATGCTCTTCTCAGCTAAGTAGATGCGAACAATGTATTTCGAAGACTGGAAGAAAAACCTATGCATTATTGCCTGGACCATCCTTGAGAAAGTGAGAAAGAACATTATTCAAGGTAACTATTAACGTAGGGACGTTTTTGTTCCTTGGTAACATAACTATTTTAGTTTCACGCGCTCTAAGATGGCACAATAAACCCTTAGAAGAACGAGTTCAGGAGCGTGTCGTTGGCTGCCTGATGACGTCTTGTGTACTCAGAGTGAAGAACAGTACGGGAAACATAATACAACCTCATATTCGACTTATACCCATGCATTCTAAATAAGGCACTCCTGGTGCACATACCTGCCGAAATTTGAACAAACTAAGTGTGGTTTTATAAAACAATTTTCCGCAGAACACTATTAGGATTTCAGAAAAGCAGCCTATTACTTTAGAGTGTAGTAGAGGGGTAACATAGAAGTGAACCTGCCAATTTAGAGTTGTTTTGTGACAGTCGGGACTCGTTCGCTCTAAGCATAAGGTTGAAATTCAGTAGAGTGTATTTAGATAAGTCAATTTCAATGAGTCGATCACTCACATAATTTGGGCCTTTGAGAACAAAAAGAAGACACTTACTTGACAGGAGTACGCATGTTCGATCACTTCTATCGAATCGTTTATGAACGCCAAAAGAATCATGCCATGGATGACGCATAGCATGCCGGGGACACACGCTCTTCTTAGTCTTTGCTTAATGTATATGACACACAACAGGACCTATTAAAAAAGAAATAAGAAGCTATAAAGATGATAAGCAAGACAATTAGTTACGAAACTTATTATTTAACGAACCTTAAAATCAGGAGATGTCTATAGGCGCCTCCAATGCAAGTCGCAGTGGGTGATACAAATGTTCTAAGCGAGTTCTCATTAAGTGCGACTTTCGTATTTGGCAGGCATCTGTCTAGGTTTGTTATTATTGTATTGAAAGAGTCAAACTATGCCACTATGAGCTCCATATATGTCCTTGTAAATATAAGAAAAATTTCTACCGTACTGAAGTCAGGTACAACTTCAGCTTATTCCATACTTTTCGGCATGTTGTTCCCCCTGCACACCACCAGGATCATTAAGTTCAACGCTACAAATGAAAAAAAAACGCTATTCACTGAATGGCTGCATATATAACCCGCAACCACACTTTTTGCACACTGTTTTTCTTTTTTGAGTTCGGGTTATATGCGACAAAGTGCGGCATATAAACTGTGTCCAACTGTTCTACTGAAAGGGGGCTGTCGTGGTCACCTCACCCAATTATGCTCACTTACTTGTGTGACCGCAAACGCTACTGCATATTTAGGGTAATTATTTTGCTTTGCGTATTTGTTAAGTGTCATTGTTTTTAGATATGAAAACTTGAATAGCGCGAAATTGATTATAGTTCATGCTATCTCAACGAGATTTTTATGGTGAAGTACTTTGCTGGAAGTAATAGCCTCGAACGAGGCACTGATGCATGGTGAGCAATCACAGACATTGTGTTTATAATATTGTTGCGATTGTACGACGTTTCAGTCATGCACCATCCCTATGCGAACATCGCTCCCGATCACCTCAGCACCGCCGCTACGCGTCGCCCTGCCTTACACCAGACGCCCATACTAGGAAAAACTGAGCATTGCAGCTTCCTTGAGGTGACGCTGCATTGAACCCCTAACGTGAAAACCCTCTGCTCCCCAAGACTACGGACGTGTACCTCTTCGCTGAGGAAGTGGATGGCCCGCCTATTTCTGCCCTCATTGCCACAGGAGCGCATATTTCCATTATGAGTACTAATTTCCGTGCATGCTTAAATAAGGTGCTTACACCGCTCGAGTCTATTTGTGTGTTTCGCCACTGGAGGAACTGCGGCTGTGCTCTGAATGTGCACCGCACGCGTGAGCGTCACCAACCACCAAACTTCCGTTACGTTTCATGTTCTTCACCGTTCTCACGACGTCATCCTCGCACTCAATTTCTTGTCTTACCACTCTGCTGTCATTGACTGCTTAGCCGGTGTCGTACAGCACAGGTTGCCTTCATGTACTGTCTTCGTTCGGCTGCCACCATAAGCACCAACCCTCGCCCGAAGGTACCAGATGGTGATTATGTGGTGACATTATCTACGGGAGTTCCGTTGGCGCTGCACGTGTCATACTTGCACAGTTGCAACTATTACAGTGAACAAAATGGGCCTTCTCTTTCTGAATTAAGGACCCAGCCCTCACGCTTACCCCAAGGCAAGACTCTCGGCACTCCGTCGTAATCTAAACAGTGCCAAAATTGTCTGTGGCACATAACTTGCCCACTGTTGTTTCTTCCTTCAAACCCACATAAGGATAATGCAGCCGGGTCTTCAGCGTTGCACAACAGTGTGATGAAGGTCATTCTGTCAGACATTTTGATTTATCAAAGAAAAGACATCTGTCAACTCCTACGGACCTACTCGGACATATTAGACTTTGATTGTAGGCCCTCAAATTTGACCTCAGAGGCCAAGCACCACACATATGCTGGTGATGTGGCTCCGACCCACAGGGGTGCTTGTCGATTGTCCCCATCGGAGCGCCATGTTATTCAACAAGAGGTAAAAAAAACGATCACAAAGGACATTATTGAGCTTTTATCAAGTCCGTGGGCGTCCCCAGTAGTGCTAGTTAAAATAATGATAATACCCTGCATTCCTGCATGGTATATCGACCCTTACACAAAATCACTAAAAAGTATGTATGCCAGCTACCGCACATTGGTGATTCTCTGGACTAACTTCACGCAGCAACCTATTTTTATTCAACAGACCTGCGATCCAGTTACTGGCAAATTGCTATAGACGGCCTCGACCGTGACAGGACTACTTTTCTAACGCCTCACAGTCTCTACCAGTTCAGAGTTATACTGTTCGGCTTGTGCGATGCGCCGGCCACGTTCGAGCGTAAGGTAGACACAATTTTGTGCAGCTTTAAATGGTTCATCGGCCTTTGTTACCTAAACTACATCATGGTGTTTGCGCCAAGGTTTGAGACTCATCTCGACTGACTTGTGCCCATGCATTCAGTGTTTCGTGCGGCTGGAGTACAACTTATTTCTTCAAAATACTACTTTAAGCACCGCCAAGTTGCCATCCTGGTACACCTCGTCGACTCACCTGGTATGCGCCCCAATCCCAACAATGTTCAGGTTGTCTAAAGGTCCCCTGTGCCAACTTGCGCCAAAGACATTCGCACTTTTGTGGGCCTGTGCTCGTATTTCAGACAGTTTGTTAGAAACTTTGTGGACATTGCACGCCGTACAACTGATCTTAATTGGAAGGACTTGCCATTTATGTGGCGTCATCATCAAGCCGCTGCTTTTTTACGCCTTATCACCTTGTCGATCACTCCGCCGATTCTCACCCACTTCGATGGGTCCGCGCCTACCGTTGTTCGCCCTGACGTTAGCGGCAACGGAATTGGCGCTGTGCTAGCCAACGACAATACGGTCATAATGGAGTCGTTGAATATGTCATTCTTTATTGTGAGTAAGAAAAACAAATCCTTGTCCCGCACCATAAATAAACATACAGGAGGCAGCCAGCTGCTTTCTCCTGGCGAATGGAATAGTTTTGTTACTTAGCGGGAATGGCTGGAAACTGCAAAAACAGTTATTAAAATTCACTCATTTTTATAAGGCCGGCATTTCAGCGTGACCGCAGATCACTATGCACAATGCTCGCTTTGAACAATCAAGGATCCAACAGGGCACCGGACTCGCTGGGCACTCCAGGTTCAGGAATTCACGTACACTATAATTTACAAGTTCGATTTACTTGAGTCCATAATGTGTACGTTAGAGTAGCTGACTAGAAAAAATGCTTTTTATTGTGTTTGTATTGCTTGTCACAATTATTATTGACATAGTCTATTGTTGAAACTTTTTTGTGCCTGAAATATGCTAAGAAGCTACCGTACGTTGCCCCATATAATGTAAATTGAGCGAAGCTTCATAAATCGACATAAACAGTCGACTACAAAGCTAAGTCTTGAGGACCATTATAGTTACGTTAGAGTAGCCATACTAGAGAACCTTTTTTATGCTTGTAAGTGTTTTATATCATTCTGTCAATAGAATGATAGATTTGAGTCTACTGTTCATCCTTTTTCTTCCGTGTCTCACACATGTTCAGACTCTACCACACGTTACTCTAGCGTTGAGTTATATAATTTAAATTAATTGACACAAAGTGATATAAACCTCCAAAATGAGTCGACTACAAAGCTATGTCCCAAGGTACATAATATTTTGAGATCGCCGACAAGAATAAAGGGTTTATGGTTGTAGATTTTGTATAGTATTTTGTCACAAATATTATTTTATATTAGCCTGTTACTAAACGTTCGCTTTTTGTGTCTCACACATGTTTCGATGGTACCGTACGTTACGCGAGAAGTGCCCCGTATATTGTAGCCTTGAGAACGGACACCGTGGACGAAGAAGCCTCAAGCTTTGCCCCCCAAGTGCACAGAAATGATCAGTTCACACGGCTGCCCACGTATTTTAGTTAGGAGTTAAAAGAAGCGCTGCCACGTACTACAGCAAGATAACACAATGACTACCATAGCTTGCCATTACCATATTATATAATATTTACCTTATAACATAGAACTGATGTCCCTCAAAGGTCAGTTTAGAAGCCAAGCTTAGGCACACAGGATCTTCTATTCTAGATACAAAATCTGCTGCGGATACTTACAATGATAAAGAAGGACGCGAATACGAAGGCGATGTCCAACACTTGCTTCGAAGTCCTGCTAATCCATCCAACGTTGTTGAACAAAGCGTAATATATTTCGTACACGAGCACTGTACATGTTCCGGCACATGATACCTATAAAAATAAATACATACGTCAAGTGCTTTAACTACAATACTGCTGGCCACGTTTGCACCAGCAAACTGTTTTACAGGAGTTTGGATATTCCATTCATTGTATTTTTACAAATATAAACCAAATGAGTGGTGCTAACGAGACGACAAAAAGAGTGCACTGGCTGTCCGAATGATGCGTACAAATGTGAACACCTTCTGCGTAAGCACGGGAGCGCGTTCCATACAGCTTTACCGGCGACGCTTTCACACAGCAACGGGATTCTAGGCACTTGCGCAGAACAAGCGCTATTGAGACCGTGTTTTGATTACGCACACCACGTCATCTGATTGCATGTTCTTGGCTAATTCATGAAAACGCACGCAATGCGCACGATACTAAAATCACCACACCGCGAATCACATGCTTAAGTGCCGTGCCCCGTGTATACCATCAGGTAGGCGTCACTCACTCCTGCGTTCACCCTAACCATATCTACTTCTCTAGTTCCTTGTTATGAAAGAAGGCCGTGGGATCATCACAGAGCAAAGTGCTTTCATCATCTGACCAAATCTGCAATGTGTTGGCCAATAGACATGTATATACAAGAAGTATACAACATTCGTGTCTATATTCCAATGAATAGAGAAGGCAAATCACAACATTTTGTTGCGCAAGTGCCATTCTATTTTATAAGATTTCAGGTGTATTTACTGATATAAAATACACACATAGGTGCACATTGTTGCTGACTACATAAAAGAAATATTACAACTATAGTGCAACTATATTACAGCAAAAAAAAGCAATGAATAAGAACACTAAGCATGAAAGTACTGATAATTTATGTATCAGAATTGTCTGAATGTGATTACCGAAATAACGTTAACATAAGAGACATAATAACTGTGCGAATAATATACTGTTTTGAAGCATCATACGTTTAAAAATAAAGAAACAAGAGGCTCAATAATTACTATTATGCAGTCAGCATACGCTAGAAATACAAACGACGTTATTGTTATATTGAAAGACAATTGACATATATATAATTTTATATTTAGGCAATTACAATTTTTACAGAACAAAATGAACATAGGCAATTTATTTCACAATTTCTAGAACTTCGTTGTGGTGAATGACTATGGCGCTAAGAAAATCAGGTTTTTAGAACACATAAAAATTCTAATACGAGAAGCAAGGAAATTCAAAGCATGATCAAAGAGTAACCTTGCTTTTGATATAAAAATGCAAACAGATCTGCTGGACTTGTCACTATTTTAGAAAATACTTGACTATGCGTATAGCTAGTACTAATTGTTCTAGCAAATTAGGACCGTGCTTTCTTCTGGTATAGGCTGTACAACATAGTATAGGCAGCACAAGGTCACGCAAGGTTACAAAGATTTAAAAGGATATTTCGAAAGAAACAGAAGAAAAGCTTTTCCCGCCAATCACGCTTGTGCCGCGAAAGTTCAAAATATTCACATTAACAAAAAAGGTATTGTGACCGACTGTTAAAACCGAAAAGCTTTAGCCTCGGCAGAATAAAAATGTGAGAAATAGTCATTTTAGTGATTAAGAGATCCTTCACAACGCATGGGCTTGTTAACTAATACGTAACACTTCTATATAGCGAATGAACACCTGAGATTGGAGGTTGAAGAAGCTTACAGAAAGCAGTGCCAATTCAGTCATTTTTGAACAAGAAAATCATAAATACATTAGTAATAAAACCTCGTGAAACGAAATTCAGCACACGTGGCGTAATCTTCATTATGCATTCCCCTTTTGTGAATATTACTTTGAAATCTTGTACTTACCATGTATACAATGTCCATGAGAGTGTACAAAACAGCTTTTTGCGGAGGGGATGGGGCTGTCTTGATAAGTTCCAGCATGGCCAGAAAGGCACATGCTAGCACTGCCATCTTCACAGATTGTCCAATGTTCAGAGTCGTCATGGTGTCAGAGCTGAACGACAAAAGAAAGAACAGACGCGTATGCGAACTTTTTTCTGTAACAATGGAAAAGCACGCCAACATCTTGGTATACTTTTCTGTAATACGTGGGCATTTTGGTGCTCTTACTATGAAATGTAGAAGATTTCTTAGCCAACTTCGGAGACATTGAGCGTATCTCATCATCATCATCAGCCTGACTACGATCACTGCAGGACATAGGCCTCTCCCATGTTCCTTCAGTTAACTCGGTCCTGCAGTTTTATGCTGCTGCCAATTTATACCCGCAAACTTCTTAATCTTATCTGCCCACCTAACCTTATGTCTTCCCCTAACCCTCTTGCCTTCTATGGGAATCCAGTTAGTCACCCTTAATGACCTGCGATTGTCCTGTCTACGCGCTACATGCCCGGTCCATGTCCATTTCCTCTTCTAGATTTCAACTATTATATCCTTAACCTCCGTTTGTGCCCTAATCCACTTTGCTCTCTTTTTGTCTCTTACGGATACACCTACCATTTTTCTTTTCATTACTCGCTGCGTCGTCCTCAATTTAAGCTGAACCCTCTTTGTATGTCTTCATGTTTCTGCTCCGTTGCTAAGTACCGGCAGGATACAGCTGTTATATACCTTCCACTTGAGGGATAGTGTCAATCTACCTTTCATAACTCGAGAGTGCTTGCCAAATGTGCTTCACCCTATTCTTATTCTTCGAGTTACTTCAGTCTCGTGGTTCGGCTCCGTGGTTATTACCTGCCTAAGTACACATATTATGAAGTCTTGGTAGTCTTGGTTGCGACAGCGTTTAACTGAGGAAAGACCTCGCGAAACGAACGGGCAGAGCCAGTACACAGACGATGACGATGATGATGACCCAGAATGGCAATGAGGACAAAGAGACAAGCGGATGATGGTGATTGTGATTATGCAGGGATGAGGACGATGTAAGTAACAAATGCCCACACTAATTCCCCCCACTTGGAAGCGAACACCCTGGCCGCCGTAAGTCAAAGTGACGGGGAACGTCGCGTGAAAGGTTTCATGCGACAAACGTGGACAATCTCTGTGCTGCGGTAGCGGCGGTCTGTTGGGGCGACGAGTGGTGTCACACGATAATTAACCGGCAAAGTCTGTTCTAAAACAATGTATGGCTCGATGAAGCGTGGTTAGAATTTGTCACAGAGACCAGGAGTGCGAATAGGTGTCAAAGCAGCACCTCGTCACTAGGTCTGAAAGACACAACGTGGTGGGATTCGTCATAGATGACCTTTCGCTCGTGCTGTCTCGCTTCAGTATTGATGCGAGCCTGATTTCGAGACTGGGCCAGGCGGGAAATGTGTTCTTCGCTAGAAGACTGACATGAATTCCCATGGCTTCTAAAGAAGGAGACGTCAAGAAAGGTAGTCGGGGTGCGTCCGTACACGAGGTAAAACGGTGAGTAGCAAGTTGTTCGCTGAACGGCGGTGTTGTTAGCGAATGTAAGGAATGGTAAAAGAGTATCCCAGTTTTTGTGGTCGGGTTTGACGTAAACGGCTATCATGTCTGCAAGGGTTTGGTGAAATCTTTCTGTGAGACCATTTGTCTGAGGGTGGTAGCTTGAAGCTGTCTTGTGAGTAGTTCCAGAAGCGCGCAGTACTTCATTTACCATTTTTGACAGGAACACTTTGCCGCGATCACTAAGCAGTACACGAAGAGCCCCATGACGCAGGATTATGGCGTGAAGAATATAGTCTGCAACTTCCACAGCTGAGCCTGTAATAACAGAGGAAGTCTCAGCGAAGCGTGTCAAATGGTCAACGGCGGTCACTATCCATCGTTTGCCAGCAGATGTGACGGGGAGAGGCCCGTAAAGGTCAACACCTACAACCTCGAAAGGCATTGAAGGGCACGGAAGTGGCTGTGGAGGTCCAGCAGGTGCAGACGTGGGGAGTTTACGACGCTGATATGGGTAGCAGGAACCGACGTACCGAGCTACACTAGAAGAAAGGCCAGGTCAGTAATAACGACATCGAATGTGGTCAAGAGTTTTTTTTAAACCAAAATGACCAGCAGTCAAGTCGTCGTGGAAGGCTTCGAGCACCTGAAGTCGAAGAGAGCGTGGTAGTACAGGAACCCAGCGCTGACCGTCAGGGTGGTAGACGTGGCGGTAGAGAACCCCATTGTCCAGTGTTAAATGCAGGAGTTGACGACGGAGTCGCGCGTTTTGTGGATTAGAAACTTCCAAAAGGTGGTCCATCATGCGTCTGCAGTATGAATCGGACCGCTGGCGGGAGATAAATGTTGGCTCGTCGTCCGAAAAGGGTTGCCTTATTGATGCGAGCGTATGAACTTTTGTAGATGTCGCGGTTCAGTTCTCACCAACGCTCATATGGGTAGTTGGAAGCGGGCAACGAGATAAAGCATCGGCGTCTTGATGTTTTCTGCCCGACTTGTAAGGTATGTCAAAGTCGTATTTCTGCAAGCGTAGTATCCACCGACCCAAGCGTCCGGACAAGTTCTTCAGGGTAGAAAGCCAGCATAAGGCATGGTGGTCCGTAACGATTGTGAAGTGACGGCCGTGGAGATAGGGACGGAACTTCTGGACCGACCAAACCACAGCCAAACACTCTTGCTCAGTTATAGTGTAGTTCTTTTCAGCAGAAGTGAGTACGCAACTGGCATATGCAACAACTTTCTCTAGGGAAGACTTGTCGCGTTGTAGAAGAACGGCTCCTATACCAAGGCCGCTAGCGTCGGTATGAAGGATAGTCGGTGCGGCTCCGTCAAAGTGGCAGAGCAGAGGTTCAGACGTGAGTGCCCGCTTCAACAGCTGGAATTCCGTTTGACATTCTTGAGACCACAGAAAGGGGACGTTCGAAGCGAGTAGTTGGTGTAATGGAGCATCAATAGAAGCGAAGTTCTGGATAAACTGGCGAAAATAGGAGGCGAGGCCAAGAAAACTGTGAAGCTCCTTTGGTTTTTCGGGACGCGGAAAGTGAAGGACTGCAGAAATCTTGTCAGGGTCGGGCTGGATGCCATCTTCGCTAACGACATGTCCTAAGATCTTGATAGAT